CTTATAATAACAGGATTACTATCTTATTAAAACAAGAAATCTAAGCTAATAGTTATACTTTAAGCATTGTCACACTTTAACACAAAATGAGTTTGAGAATATTGCTAGAAACATGAATTACTGGTGTTTTTGTGCACATGATCACAGGATAATTTGAAAGTAGCACAGAGAGAAATGTTCTTGAACATATATCAACAAAATCAGTTTTAATAAAACATAAATACACGTAAACACCTTTTTGATGATTTGCTTAAATAAATGTTCAAATAAGACATTTTTCTAAAGTAATTGTAATGTCATTGTAAACTTGTACACATTGTAAATAATGATAAATTACTGTACAGCAGTCCTGCGATATCAATATTTATAATACATTGAGGGAAATGTATGTGTTTTGTTTGCAGATACAGTGAAGTACAATGTCTTGTTTTTATTTTCAGTTGATCACCTCTATGACAGGTGGCTCCACCTTGAATCGTAGGAACACTATCTCTGTAGGAGAGGACCCCTCCATGGTCTCAGGTCAGTCTGACTATTATAGACTTCTGTGTCATAGCAGATATACTTAATTAAATATTTCTTTGTATAGACCTTACCCTCAGATCACTGAAGGTTAGCTGAACTTGAATATGCTGGGTATTATTAAGGTTCAAGAAAGACTTGTGTGTTACATGTAAAAATCATCAGACATAAAACACTCTTATATCAAGAATTTCATTTGTAAGCAAAAAAAAAAAAATAATGCAAATCACCATGTTCACCATAAACAAATTTATTTCTGTTAATGGCATATTGCCACATAATCTAATGCTTGTACATGATGAAAGCTAAAAATAATACAAACACTAAAAACCAATTAGTGTAAATGTAGGAATGACAAGCACATGCAGTAAAATTTAATTTTGAATTGAGATTTTATGTCAAAATTTGCACAGTCAGGCCTTCTTATCTCGAGCATGGTGAAACTGATAATAAAAAGAGATTGAGATGTCAGAAATAAAGTCAAGCTTATTATGGGGCTATTTGGGGAAAAAATTATCATCTCTTTTTAAAGTATTCCTTGTATTTGAGATATTGAGGGCCATGTGTAATGTGTTAGTATTGTTGGTTTTGAACACTACTTAATATTCTAATGATGCCTTGTTTCAGGAGAATCCACTTCCTCCGGATCAACAGCAGAAAAATACGATGAATGGCCAGAGTTTTCTCCTCTTGGTTCCCTTGAAAATGTTTATGAACCAATTATCCCTAAGGAGCCCCCTCCCCCTCCCCCCTCTGGACCCCAGAGTGAGGGCGATCTGACAGCTCCTCCAAGCACCACCCTGGCCGTTCCTAAGTCTCCCAGTGAGGGATATCTGGAGCCGGTCACTCACCGGTCAACAGCAGCCAATGAAACGCCAATAACCACGGTAACCACAGCAACCAATAACCAACTGACCAATCATCAGTCAGTCATGACTCAGTCAACCAATGAAATGATTGTCTCTGAGGAGGTCAAGGTGTCCATGGAAACATCAGTTCATCAGGAGGTCAGTGTGGATAACGTACAAAAGAGTTCAGTGGAGCCTGAGATCTCGACAGAGAGAGAAAGAATCCTAGCTGCACAACCAATATACGAGGAGATAAATGGTTATGGAAAAGAACCTGCTAAAGAATTGCAGAGTTCAGGGGATCTACAGAAATCTGTCAATGACAGTTTATCAAAAGAGATGCACAAGTTCATGACAGACAGTCTTACTGTTGACATGAATGAGTCGGTGATTTCATTGGACCGTGACTTCCCGCCAGCATCGCCGTCACAGACGGGAATGTCCTCAGGGTCAGAACCGTCCTCCCAATGCAGCACGCTCAGTCGACCGAAACCGTTACCAAGGAAACGATCCAAACGGGAGAGCTTGTCGCTAGAGCAGCCTTATATAGCGATGAATCGTGGGAGCGTGACGTCGGCCCTGAATGAGACTCAGCTGAGGGATATGTTGAATCAGCTCACATCAATGAATCTTCAGACACTGAGGGATATATACACCCAGTATGAGCGTATCTTTATAAAGGAGCCCATCTCTCTGGGTGTGCCCACGGCGGGCCCACTGAAATGGACAGATTTTGATATTTACGGGAAACCTGTCCATTCCTCGGAGCGATGTGTTGTGTACAATGCCAAACTCAGACTCAGCTCAACCAACTGTCAACTCATGGTAAGATGTGTGTTAATGTTGCATCTCTGTATGTGTGTTAATGTCATTGAAACTATATAGATTCTGTAAAAAAGTGATAGCCACAATTATAGGTTTCATTTGTCTTTACATTCATTTGCTAGATAGAAAAAATTGATAACCATTGGCTAACAAAGAAAATTATGAACATGCGAATTGAATAACTTGAGGACTGATTAAAACTGTAAAATGTCTGTAAAACTAAACTAGTATGATTTATTTTTAGCTACAACACACGAAGCCGGACCTGATGTCTTCCCAGCATCCCACACTCCTGAAGCCGACCGTCATTTTCTGTGATCACATCCCCTACTCCTATCTGACGGAGGACTTCATCAAAACCAATCAGCTCCTCCTCAACCTACACACCAACCAATCAAATTCCGCCAAGTGTTTTGTGGCGGTTGGACAGTTTGACATTTCTGACAGTCTCTCCAGTCACATGACCTCTATTCGCCATGGTAACAGTCAGGTGATGTGGACAGTAGAGGACATGATGGAGAATGTTCTGTTCTTCATGTTACAGATCCTCAGCGCGATCTCTCACTGTCTCGATCAAGGCTTCAGTCTCGGAGACGCTAACTTCCGGGATGTGTTTATAATCACTAGTAGCAACTGTTCCCATGGTAACATTGTGGCATTCCTTCCCCATCAGAGGTCACTGGATGGTTCCCACATTGATTCTGTGTTCTGTTTTCTGGATAAGTATCTCGCTGAAAACATGTCCAGTCGGAGTGAGTACGAGTTTGGGAAATTCGTGGGAGGAGTTCTGAAAGTGCAAAAAATGTTACAGTGTCGTAAGATCGAGATCCTGCCATTGATTCGGAGTTATGTGGAGTTTCTTCTCTGGGGACCAAGTGAGACGTCGTGGCAGGGCGGGGTGGAGCGGACCAGCAGTCTGGAGCCCAAGCTGTCCATGTGGTTAGAGAAAGAACGGGCAGCGATGGTGCATAGATTCGCCCGGGAATCGGCAGTCGAAGAGAAGAAGTATTCCATCACTGAGTTTTACAGAATGAAGTTCCTGTTAAAGTCTAGTGCTGTCAGTCTGTCTGAGTGTGTCAGGACTCATATGTCTTACTGATCTAGGTCAAGGTCAGACAAGGTCATTTAATCAGAAATATGATTTACTGTTTGATGATATTGGTCATATCTACAATTTAATGATATATGTTTGTAGTTTTTATTCTTAAATGAAAATGTGAACAAGAAGCATTGAAAATATGTCAAATTTATACCTATTAAATTCTTAATTGTTTCCCTCATGACTAGTGCTGCTTTAAGAAGAGAAATCAATTTTTTCATAAGTCACTCTTTTTTGGGTGGAGGTAGATATAGCATCTACTGAAAATATCCTTCAGTCCTTGACATAATCATGATAATACAAACTGTCTCTTAATACTGAATAATGTGTATTCCTAGGCTTATAGGAAAGATTCTTTCCTTTCTTTGGACGAGGGAGAGAGGAGTGTTGCTCTATAAGTATAGGTCTAAATGCAGACCTTATTCCTGTCCACATATTACATGCATTGTTATGCATAAAACCATTTTTTTCTTCAGGGCAAAATTGATAAAGATTTTGTTAAGTTTAATTTGTAGGTTAGATCAACAATATCAGAAATACTAAGAAAGGTTTTAATGATTTACAATATATGTATAACCATGATACTAACATGCTATTATAAGAAAAAGTTCTATTTTACCTCAAATATAACGTTAGTTACATTAAAACTATTGTGACACATACATTTAAACAATTGAAAAAAAAAAAATGATGATCATTTTTCATGTTTTTTATCAATGTTCTAGTTGAATTGTCTCTTCATGAAGATCTGAATTTTAGTTAATGATTTTTTTAAGAGTTTATGTATACATTTTAATTAAAGAGGTCAGTTTTTTTTTCACTTATTAAAAATGACTTTTGAATGCTTTATAAATATGATCATCTCCTTATATATGGAACAAGCTGTTTTGAATGAAATAAGAGTTATCTTTCTTTAGTCATCTTTATTAATCCATTTTTGTTTTTTGTTTTCATTTTCTCTCTTTGACCACTGAGCATAAAGATCAATCTTTCTGTGCAATATTATCCTGTTACTATGGTTATACTGTATGGGACATTTTTGAAAGTTTTGCAAAGATGGAACAAAGTTATTCTAATGTCCTTGTTTTTATTGAAAACCAACCCCACGGCCATTGTATTTCAGTTTTATTTAAAAGGATCAAACCTCTTGCCTGAGCTGTTTGCATTATTTTTGTATTAATACATATTTATTAAAATATATAAGTTCTTATATAGTTTTTTGTATGAGTAGATTTTGCAAAACATGGAAATAAGTGCCAATTTATTAGCATGCACAATTTTAAACCATCAGATTGTCTAATATTATCCCAAGCATTAGATATTTTTTATTCATAAAGATTTTACAGTTCACAGCTTTTTGATAATATTGTAATATGCAGAGAACATACACCATTGTTTTACTGCTTATCTTGTCTTAATTATTGTGAATCTTTTAACTTGAATTCTTCAAATAATTCAGAAGTCCTAAACAAGGTAATGGGACCACATATTTAACATCATTTATGTATCAATTTTTTTTTAATGCAGGCTTTTTACACTGTAACTGTCTTATCTGTTTTGTATCAGTTAACATGGCTAATATGTTTTATATATTAAATATATATGCTGTATGTGTGACTTTCATAAAGCTCTATGATGTGCAATATATGTATGTATGGTATACTGTATATTTATTCCTGTTTATTATGTATGTTTGAATGAATTATTAAGAAGGTTTGTACAAAATGTATATCAATTTGTATTTACATGATAAGGAAGCCACAAAGGATCCACTGAAATTATAATCAAGCAATATAATTAATGATAAATCAGAATAATTCACCAGTATCTCTAACAACATATTATAGTGCAAGAAATATGTTTCTATATATACTGTAAACCATTATTCGCTGTAAGGAATGTCAAAGATTTCTGCAACCTACTTTAACTTGCAATAATTAATTGCTTCAAACCAATCATTATTTTGAAATTATAAATACATGTACATGTAATATATAATCAGCAAAATTCCCTCCAACACCCAACAAGCTTAGAACATTTTCTTTTTTGTATTTAAAATTGCTAGGCAGCCTTTGTAAAGCAGATACCCTTTCAGTATTTCAAAAATATAACTTTGTTAATGAGGCGTTGTTTTCCTAAAGAAGTCATCAGCTTATTTTGACACACATGTATTACTTGTATTCAACTTAACAACCCTCCAGGTGTTAGGGTTTAACTGTACTAGAACCAGTGAATGTTCACTGGTTTATTCCTAGATATAATTTTATAATGCAGTAAGAGATCCTTTTCAATTAAGCTATAACTTATATACTGTTAAAGAATATCCTTGTACATTAAATTTCAGTGTTACATTTTAATGTGATAGCTTTTCTGTACCTTGTTTACAGTTGAAGAATTTCTCACTACATTTCAATGAAGTATTCTAATGTAATAACATTATATTGTAACAATGTATTCCATTACATTGTAAATTTTGTAAGATATTTCTCAGCTTGTTGTATTTTTGTTGCGAGTCCATCCATTTTATTTTTTATTTACGACAGTATTGCGGTTGTCATAGTTACTGTGATTTTTTTTTGTATATTATTATACAGAGTGAAAGGAAATATTATTTCTCTGTCTGTGAAACAGAATTGCAATAAATGGACAATTTATTCGTATCCTAACATTAAGTTTTTGTTCGGACCTCAATTCTGTTAGTAATTTTATTGTTTTCAGTTGAAAATGGATTTATTTTCAACTGTTTTGATTGTAATAAACTCTATAATCAAAGCGATAACAATTTTTCTATTTATTCTGGAGAGGGACGTTAAACAGTATACAGTCAACAAGCAATGGAATTTTTCTATCAGGGATACTAGCTGCACCCTGTTAAAAACAGACCATTTACTTTGTATTCTTGACAAGCAGAATTTCTAAAACAAAGCTAATGGCAAAAAATTTGATGAAACATGTATATCAACAATCTTATGTAAATACAGCTATATCCTTCATTTTCAAATATATATAGATAACTACTTCCAGCGTCAAACGTTTCTGTAAATACTTTTAAAAAGTGAATACATTTTTGAAATATTATTTCATATGCCTCACTTCAATTTTGGTAAGCTCGAAATGAAAGATTTATCAACATCCCATACCTGTTTTATATCATATAAAAAATTATATATTTCTGAAAATATTGGGATCCAGTACGCAAGATATACGAATTGAAAATTTCTAAAACATTTAAGGAAGTTACTACAAACAAATAGTTTTCGGTAAGAGAAACAGATTTCATTTAATGTCATTTAAAGTGATCATCATTTTGCAGTGACCAATCAATCCAATAATTGTCATCAGCATGTACAATCTCTCTTAGGTCAAACCTCTGGCATAAAAACGTTAAATAGCAGCACTGCATTTAAATAATAAAAATTCATAGCCTATAGGATTTATTTCGGTAAGGTTGAAGCAAAAGATACCACAGAATCTGACACACTAGTTTCATGTTTTGATATTTTATTTTGAAATAGACATTGATGTTCATCTTGCAACAGAGTTTTCCGATTAATCACAATGGCTTTAACTTTTACTCTCCAACTTCCATTACTTATACAGAAATACATGTACCCTTTTCACCTGCATATGGGGAAATTACTACGAATCAAAGATTTCGAAAACGAGGTTAGTTATTGACAATCAAGTAGAGTAAACACGTATGTACAACAAGGTTTAAAGTCAAGTTCGTAAGTTTTTAGCCGATACAATGACCCTTTCCACAAATATGAACAATTTATCATTAAGGAAAATGCTGACTGACGTTTTCCATACGGATATGTAGACCTTTATTTACACAATGAATTATCTACTGATTTTTTTTCCATTATTTTCCCGATCATTGACAAGGGCAATGCAATTATGACTGGTCGGCATGCAGGGGATGTTCATTCCTCCATGGCATCTAATTACACCCCAGAGGATCTTGTTTTCTCTGCTGCTCAAAATTTGCATTGGTGTTGTTCAATGGAACTTTTGTACTGTTTAATATCTCCATATATTTCATTACTAATATAAGTCCCGTTTCTAGTGCAAAATAAAGGGAAAACCTCATATCGTCTCTGATAAGGTATGCCTTGACATTTTATATTTCAAAGAGCACAATAAGGATTTGTCCTGAATGCAAAGAGCTAACTGTTTGTCTGTAGAATGTTGTTGATTTTCCTGTGTGTTTTTGTTACTGTTTTCAAGCCTTTTCAATGTGCACGTGAGATCGGCAATCCAGACGACAATGCCAGAGATGGCTTGGAAGAGAAACTAGAATATATGGAGATGGAGCTTACAGAAGTGAAAAAGTTGTCCTTCGGCTTGATGAAGAAAATGCAGAGCTGAAGGCCAGGCTCGGAGATCTAGAAAATGCTTTCCAAAATGGAGAAGGAAAAAATTGAAGACCTATGGTTGGCAATGCGTTGAAAAGTTCTGACAAAGAAGACATCGTGCATTTAATTCAGAATGACTCAAAAAGACAGATATGATTATTATAGAAAATCGACAGTATCAACCGAAGGGAAACGATTGGAACAGAAAAAGAATAGGTTATTATGAAATGAATTAATATTTCCTAATAAATATTTATATTTTTGTCAAATCACACATTTGCCCATCTAAGGAAAATTTGATTTTCTCAAAAAGAACACGGTATAGTAACTGCCGAAACTGGTTTTATCAATGAATTTTAGATCACAGTTAAAAATGCGATAGTTTGTAGTTGTTTGGTAAGATTAGTTGTAGAACTTAAATTAATCCTTTTTTTTACAACCAGCAATAATTTTGATTCAAAACTTACAAAGATACCTTAAAAGCTAGCTAGAGCCTGGCAATTTTTGGAATTTTCCTACAACTTTGAGTTTTAGTGGAATTTGTTAACTTCGAGATAACATTCACTTCGTAAAACATAGAACAAAAGCTTGCCTATCTGATATTTTTATACACCAAAATGAATTTGAATTACCATATTTATATTGGATTCCAAAATGTTTAAAATCCTTACAATTTTGCTTTCATATGATGAAGAATTTGTCTTAAACATTATACGCGAAAAGAAGAAAACATTTGCTATGGCCAATATTTTCAAGAAGTGGTATGATAATCGACGAAGTATTGTCAAGGAACTTTTGAATTATTTGAAATCACACGATTTTTAGCATAAAAACTTGCTGAGCTTCGCCTTTATACACAATGGTTTTCATGGAAAATGAAAGTTAGCGGCGTTGATATCATTGCAAATTTTATATACTTTTTATATATTAACATGGAACTCGTAGATTTACTCACCTTGAAGGTGAATTTTTTGATAAAAAGTTGACTTTAACTTTTCTATTGTCAACTTCCCTTACTTATGCAGCAATGGTCTTCCATCACCTGCATACGGATTTTATGTATCCAGCTTTGCAGCCGTTATTAGCAAGAGCATGCTCTATTTTTGAACAATTTCTAAACAAAATTTATTGACAAGCAAGTTAATGAAACAAGAAAACACTTGCCATGGATTAAGGTCAATCATTTTTAGTTCTATATCGACGACGTATTGTCCATTATCAATGGTTATCAATTGCATTCCAATGGATTCATATATTTGTTAGTCCATTATTCATACACTGAGTTGACATGGAGCACACGGGGGTGAAATATTTATATGATAACATTTACAGTACCGTCTTTGCTCTGTTTCTACAATCGGTTTTATTTATTGACCAGAGAAATTGTTCGTAATATAAATATGTTTAATTACAGTTATTTATCACAAAGAATATGCAACAAAAATTTGTAATTACAGTACATCCCACGACAGCTCCAGTGGGTATTATTGCATTTCATGCTTACCTTTCACACACATCGGGTCCCCTTGCTGAGCATCACATAATCCAGTTTGATTTTGTGCAGCTGAACAAAGGTAACGGGTATCGAGCGTATGACGGCCTTTTTGTAACACCTGCATCGGGAACGTACGTTTTTACCTGGGGATTCATGTCAAACACTAGCGACTGCGTGTACACTCAGCTCATGAAGAATTCCGATGTCCTAGGCACTAGGTACGCAGACTCCTGAAGTTCGTCAGTTTGGGATTTTGCCACAGGTGTTGTTGTGACAGACACAAATCAAGGGGACCACGTCTATGTCCGCACAGGACAACACACGCACAAGGACTTTGCAAGCATTGTAGGGAGCAGGCCCACCTTCTCTGGATGGAAGTTGAATTAAATGAAAATTAATTAATCTGTTTTTGTTGTCTTCACAGGTGCATATAAGAGTTATTCTTTGACCCCCGAGTACAAATTTCAGGAATGCATCCAGGAGAAGGTCTTTGAAAGAACCAATGACAAAATGTGACGATAACGTACAGTATTCAAGTCCAAAAGTCAATATTAACAATACAGATCGGGAGCATAGCAAACACGGACCTCTAAATCATCCAGAGGTGGGATCAGGTGCCATGGAGGAATGAGCTTCCTTGTGATTGACCGATCAAACGAAAATTTAATTTTTTTAAAATTAAAATTTTCTTTCGTTTTTATAAGCATTATACACTTTTGTATTTTAAAAAGACAGATCGCCGTCTGATTCTGCCAGCAATCGCCCAGCATAATTTGATTGTAGAAGTTCATTGTCTACCACACATGACCAATGTAATTTTTCGAAACTGATTTGAACATAAGTATTATAGCTTAACAAAACACATTTGGGGCTTTAAAACAGGTACTCAGGGTTTCATTTAACGTCTCTGTAACCTGTTCAACTATTAGTATTTTCCACGTGCAAGTTTTTTTCGGTTGAAACTCAATATCATTTATGTCGCTAGTCCACGAACGTATGATAACCCATTGTAAATGCGACTATACATACTATTTTTGACGATTTAAGACATACGACAAAGAATTATTCTATAACTCTGGTATTTTAACAAAGAGCCACTTCTAAAAAAATCGATCAAATTTGGGACAGATTTAAAGGGGTAACTGGATTATCTTCTCGTAAAATTTTAAGACTCCCAATCCCGATATTTGTAATTCTACGAGTCTTTCTTTCGCTCCTCTCTGTAATTTTGTTGTTCATAAGATTGATATCTGTGTACTGATACCAATGTTAATCGTCGGTTGTGACATCGCGCACAGAATTGGGGCTGATTTTTTAACGTCAGAATATACTTTTTTGACGTTATTGCCTATGTCGTTTAAACGTAAAAACGTCAAAAATTCAAGGCGTAACAAATCAGACTAGACATTCAATTTTTGCTCCTGTTTTCTTAAAAATGTCTTACTTATTGTTTCTTTAAATACAAAATTTTATTCATTTGCACATTTCAAAAATAATATTTTATCTGTTAAAAGTTGTCTCACCAAATAAAGAATACAGTTCATATTGGTGTTATACGCCCGGTTAAATATCATGATAAGCATATTTGTGTCGTAGTAACAAAACCGACTAGACATCAAAATCGCTCTATTAATCTCTCCTTCCGCTTGCTTAAATTTTTTTAAAGAAAAATTTGACTACTTCTTGATTATCACATTTTATTTATCAACTTAGTTTTACAAAAAGAACCCTTTATAATTTTATATAGTAAAATATCTTTGTCAAACATTCTATCTTTTCTTGTAACTTGTCAGGATTACGGC